ATATTTTATTATATTATTTATTTATATTTATTATATTTATTATCTTATCATATTATTATATTTTATATTATATTTTATATTTATTAAATTATAAATATATTAATTAATATATTAATATTATTATATATATAATTTATTAATATGATATATTTATTATATTATAATATATTTATAATTAAATTATTTATATATAATAGTTATAATATAAGTAAATATAATAATATATATAGATATAATAATTATTTAAATATATATATATATTTAAATAATATATTAATAATTAAATTATTAAATTAAAATAATTAAATTAATTAAATTAAAATAAATAAATATTTTAATTATTAATATATACATATAATTAAATAAATACATAATAATTATATTATATTGTCTAATAATTTATATATAAACGTGTCGTATTTTTATATGTGTCGTTAAAAAAAGAAAATTAACTTACGTGCACACCCATGCAAATATCGATATCTCGATCAGTATAATTGGAATAGAAAAAAAAGAAATCCTCTTGGTAATATCGTCGAATGAGAATAATTCCTCGGTACTGTCAGATTTGTCTAATTCGTCTTAAACTAATCTCGAAAGAGATATTAGAACGTCCCAGATCAGAGAGAAACGTGCCAATCGAGGTCGATCGAACTACTCGTCCTCTCTTTCTCTCTTTCTCTCTCTCTCTCTCTCTCTCTCTCTCTCTCTCTCTCTTGTAGAACACCAGATTCTCACATAAAACCTGCGTACGAGAACTGGCTCGTCGGTCGACGAGGTTCTTCCAGAGAACAAAGCACACCTACGTGACCCGTAGCGGAATCACACGCGAGTTAACACGAGCAGGGACCAACCTCTCTCTCTCTCTCTCTCTCTCTGTGTCATTTGACTTCGGAAACAATCGGGGTTGTCCTATCAAATATAACATTCAATTTAACACATACCTGTGAATATTCAAACGATATCACGAAAAAAAAAACATGTACAAAAAAAAGAAGAAACGAATATGATAAACGAAAAAGTGCAAATAATGGGCTATTAACTCTTTTTTTTTTTTAATTTCTTTTTTGATATTCCCTCCTTGTAAAAAAAAAAAATAAAAATAAAAAATAAAAATATGTAAAAGAAAAATTACAAATAAAAAAATAAGGGGTTAGGTAAAAAAAAAAAAAAGAAGAAAAACAACACCAAATGACTATTACGATCAACGGTGGAATCTCGCGGACAACGAACTCGAGCAACCGACAACCGAATGCAGGAAGCGGTAGACCAGGACTCTGCGAGTCCACCTGCTCGCCAGTCGACCAACTGGTTGTGGTGTACACTGTAAGCAAGCACCTTTGGTAGGGATTACTACTACTCCTGGTTGCCTGCTGCCACCACCGCTACCTGACTCACCACCTTCTCTTCCACCTCCTCCTCCTCCTCCTCCTCCTTCTCCTTTCCCTCCTTCTTCTTCTCCTCCTCTTCCTCTTTTTCTCTTAACTCGATATTGTTCAAGTCCGGGAGAGACGGGGACCGGATACGGCCCTGTTGTTTCACACACAACTTCTGTTACTTACTTAGCATCTTCGTTAAATAATTTCCTATTGATTTATTTAAAAAAAAAAAACACACACACACACACAGACAATTTATTCGAAAAAATTTATCATCGATAATCATTACTATCTAATCATATTTAAGATCAATCGAATCTAAACGATATACATCGATCATAACTAATATCGATAATACGATAGGATAATTAAACTCATTTAAGATGTTGTTACTTATTTATATACACATTATGATTGATTAATTTGTAATTATTGATGATCTTGAATTCTTATGGATCTCTATCGATTATTTATTATACAGTAATATCAAAATGATCGATGATGATTCGAATAATTAACATTTAATTATATCAATAAATTCGAATAATTAACATTTAATTCTATCTATTTATCATTGAAATACAGTAAGTTTCATCTTGTATGATATTTAACCATAGTGTTTGAGAATTTTGAGAATAAGTAAATAAAAAAAAAAACAAGAAAGAACAAAAATTACCCTGGTTTTACCGGGCGGGACGTATAAATACGTCAAACGTATTTTACGTATTTTATATATAAATAAATAAATAAAAAAAAATGTATATTTAGCGTATAAATACTATTGATATATTAGAAATAATTATAAATAAATTTTAGCGTATAAATAAGTATAAATAATAAATAAATAAATAATTAAAAAAGGGGCGTAATTAAAGAGGGGAATTCTCCGGTTTACAGGTAAAATATGCAAGCTAAATAACGAAATTATTATTTCAAATCGATCATAGGATTGGACAGAATTTGCATTTAATCGTTTTCGAGGAGAAAATGATGGATAATCGATGACGTAACATCACCCCCTCCCTCATCCTCATCGTTTCCAATCGTGTGATTCAATTTCGACGACGAAACAAAAAAAAAAGAGAAGAGGAAAAAAAAGAACACAAAATAATCAGAAAGTACTTTGACCTAGAAAACGAGCATCTCGATCGAGTTTTGCGAAGTGCATCTGCATTTCCCGTTAGTTCTCTCGTGTTGCAAGATGCAGTGAAAGAGTAAGAGAGAGAGAGAGAGAGAGAGAGAGAGAGAGAGAGAGAGAGAGAGAGAGACAAGATATTTCTCTCGTTTTATAAGTTCCTCTATACACTCCTTAAAAGAGATAGAAAGAAGAATCTCCGAACCTACTCTAACTGTAAAATATAATCCTCCTCCCCCTTCCTGCTTTTACCCCCCAGTTCGAAGACATTTATTTTAACATTTCAATGATACGTGAGTACTGTATGCGTTTACATGTATGTTACTTACCTATATATATATATATATATATTATATTTATTATTATTATATAATTAATATATATGTATATATATATTATATATTATATATATAATAAAATTATTTTAAATATTAATTACAAATAAAAATAATTTAAAAAATATATAATAATTAAATTTAATTAGTTATTAAAAAATAAATAATATTAAATATTATATATATGGACGTGTTTGTATTACATCTTTCAAAGAAATAAATTTATACGATTCACATGAGATTAGTTTAATTTCACATAAACATTTGTATCCATAGATATTGGTTACAACACTATAAAGATACAAAGTTTAACAATAATTATCTAAAGGTGAATGAAGTTATGATTAGTCTTCGACATGTTTACGAGTTTGTGTGTTCTTTATTATTTTTTTTTTTTGTCGAAAGAGAATTTAATTCATTTAAAACGATTATGTCAACGCATCGTAAATAATATAGAAGTATGTAGCTACTTACTTACTTACTTATTTACTTATGTAGCAGTAGTAGTAGTAGTAGTGGGAATAGTATTATAGTTAGAGTGGTAGTAATAGTAATAGTAATAGTAATAGTAATAGTAATGGTAGGTACTAGAGAAAACGTAGCAAGAACTGGCGCTTGTTCGGGCATTAAAGTCACCATAATAATGCGAATATTCTTTTATATCGTCGTAACTTTCGTGCATGCATATATGCGACGTTAATAAATAGTAATGGAAACCTACTGTAAAATTCTTTGGACTAATATCACACTACTAACATACACACACACACACACACACACACACACATATATATATATATATATATATATATATATATATATATATATATANTATATATATATATATATATATATATATATACTCGTACATCTATGTATACAAAGGTATGTATATATATATACCATCATCATTCGTTTTACCTTTCACTGGGCAGTTTGGTCGAATGGCGATAACTGAAAGCGTTCGAGTAATGTTAACACGAAATGGTCGTTTACATTAAACGAATTAAATATCGTTAAACGAAGAGAAGGAAAGTGAAAAGTTGACCAAATTTTTATTCCCTCCGTTTTTTTTTAATTTTTTTCTTATATTTCCCTAAGTTTTACACTTCCAATAAAATTTTTCTTATTAGATTGCGTAATATACTTTTTAAAATTTTTTTTCTTTTTTTTGTAAACAGGAAAAAAACTAGAACGTCAAACGATACGTAAATTGATTTATCACCTATCGAAAAAGATCGTATTGAATCAACATGAAATTAGAGAACGTTCATTTTCGTTCTCGTTTAACCTCATTAAACTGATTAGAAATATATTCATTTGATTTGATTTTTTTCTTTTTTTTTTTTACTTACTTTAAGTATAATCGAACTCTCTAATCTTTCGTTCTTAATTCCTGTTTGGTTAGGAAAAATTTGGAACATGTGTGATACTATGACAGCGGGCGTAAACAACGATTACTTTCAGAAGTCTTTTTTAGTGACGTTTAAAAATCCATATATCTGATGTTTTTATTTTTTTTTATTTTACCCTTTCTCTCTCTCTCTCTCTTTCTCTCTTTTTCCTTCTCTTAAGAATTTCTTCCCGTTCTGACTTGTATAAGCAACTTGTAAACGTTGTTGATTCGATCGTTCTAAAGGAAAACCAGTCGTTATGACTTTATTGCGAAATCATTGAATAAGTGAGGTCCCATTTTGTTGGTTAGTTGGTTGGTTGGTTGGTTTCTGAGATCTACGATCCATCTCACGTTCTCCATCTGTTGTCATTGAATCTTTCTTTAAAATCCTAATCATGGATTAACGATTATTAATTATTGTTCAATAAATCGTGTCACATGACGTAATAATAATCCCTAGTAGCACAAAATATTGAAAAATATTGAACACATGTGTATTTAATATTGAAAAGACACATTGATTTTCTTTTTTTAATATTAAATTTAATAATATAATATTAATATTAACTCTTTGAGGCACGGTGGGATTAAAAGTGTCCCACCTTTTTTGATACATCGTAATACACGGTGGGACATTTTTAGTCCCATCTCGAAAATAATCAAAGCAAATTAATTTTATTTTTTTTTATGTTTTTACATTATGTTATATATTATTTTTATTCATCAAAAAATATACCAATTTTATTTCATTTAAAACGTAATCAAATTTCTCTATGCAACCTAAGGCTATTTTATTATCTGAAATTCTGTGCCGTAAAGAGTTTATTATTAATTAGTATTATTATTATTATTAATAATAATAAATTAGATGAATAAATAATTAATTAGTAATTAATATAAGTATTAATATTAATATTAAATACACACGTGCATTCAATATTTTTCAATATTTTGTGCTACTAGGGATAATAAATACAATTTTTCTGTTATTAAAAAGAAACGAAAATTAAATGAAAATTTTCAAATGTTGTTTCAATAAAAGAATACAAATATGTAACAGAAACCAAAAAAATAAAACCGAAAGAAGTTTCATGAAAACAAATCAACGAATAAATATCACATTTGTACAAAAAGATAAGAACAATGTATGTATATGTGTGTGTTTTAATAAACACGTTATATCAAATGACTTTATTTACCGTGCACCCGTGAGTCATGATTTTCATTTCAAAACGGCCTTTCTCGATCGGCATTCATGTAATTTTTGTAATTTATTTTTTCTTCTCTTTCTTCTTCTTTTTCTTCTTTTTCTTTTTCTTTCTTTCTTTATCGATTTTATCGCGAGCACGTTCTTGTATATGTAATGAAATATCATTGGCCTTGAACCGTTGTTACTTGGCTCACAATAAATAAATTAGAAGGGAGGGGCACTCAGGATTATTTTTTGTTGTCATTACACTTGTCTCTTCTAGTATTTCGTGATGAGAAAAACACGAGATGATGATAAACAAAATGCAAAAGATAAAAAAAAAAAAATAAGAACAGAAGCAAAACTATACAACGACACGATTCGCGTGACTCAAATGTGTTTCACCTAACAGTAACTAATGGTTCTTCCAACGAAGTGAAAATCTCGAGTTAGTGAGTTTTACCGATTAGAGATTGGTCAGTAAGATGTATTTGCAAAAGGAAATATCTTATGGTCAGTATAACACGCGAGAATTCATATGGATAAATCGTTTTCGTTTTCACTAACAATAACTAGAATTAAATCGAAGAAATGTGAACAATTTTAACGATTACTTTTCATGATCAATATCTTTCTCATAAATATATAAATATATACAATAAATATTTATATATAATAATAAATATATAATATAAATAAATAATATAAATATATAACATCAATATATAATATAAAAATATAAATATAAATATATAATATAAAAATATAAATAATTGTCAAGGGGAACAAACATGTAGGGGGGGCCTTCGGGGTAAACACCCTAAAGGGGTATACCTGGAAATAAATAAATAAATAAATAAATAAATATATAATACAAATATATAATAATAAATATATATAAATATATATAATAAATATTAATACATAATAATAAACTAATAATATAAATAAATAATATAAATATTTACTAATAAATATATAAATAAATATTATATATATATATATAATAAAACGTATATATAATGCAGTAAACATGTATATATATTAACTGCATTTTAAACACGTTTTTTTCCTATCTTCGTTTTTCATATCATTTATAATTATTATTAATTGCAAGATAGATATTTATGAGAGAAACACAAAAAAGAAGGAAAGAATAAAGGAAAGAAGGAAAGAAAAAGAAAAAGAAAAAGAAAGAAAATTTGTAGAAAATTATTAAAGGAATTTGAAATGTTACAAAGTAAAAGTGAATATAACGAAAAACTCGAGAAGAAGTTTCACTTACGAATTAGTTATAATAATGATTATGACACACGCGATCTTGCGAATAAAGAGAATTTCTTTCTCATGTGCTTAATGATCCTTTATTTTTTTTTTTTTTTTTTTTGGTTTAATATAATACTCTTACCTCATATCTTCAGAGTTACGCGTTAAATATCGATTTCGTTAGAAATCTCATATAGATTGTTAGTGTGTTCGATGAGGTTTGCGTGACGTACGATAATCTCTCGTAAAACACGATAGATAAGATAAAACGAGAAAAGATTTGTGTATCTCTTTCTCTCTCTCTCTCTCTCTCTCTCTCTTTCTCTATCTCTCTCTCACTGTCTCTCTCTCTCTTTTGGTTTTATTGTTTTATATTTTTCTTTCATTTTTTTTTTCAAGCATTCGAAAAAGATCGAACAATCCGAAATATTTCGAAAAAAAAAGATGATGATATCGATGAGACTACGAATATATTATTATTATTATCAAAAAGCTTTCAAGAAAAAGAAAAAAAAAACAAACCAAAAGGAAAAAAAATGAGACAAAACTTGAACACCTCGATCTTTAGATCTTGTTTTAATTATTTATATCAATTCTAATGACGTTGTAAACATTGTTTATTCGATGAAATCGAACGAAAACCTGTTTTCTGTACTAGCCGTGCCTTCACGTATACGTGCACGCTATTGGACGATACGGTTATTCCAATAAACATATTTTGCATATCACAATCTATATAAAATGAGAGATGTCTGTGGGAGTGTTCAGTTATTATTATTAAAAGAAACCTAAACGATCATCATGCAGCAAGAAGAATTAAAGGTATTTTTTTTTTTTCAATTTGTTTATATTACACGTATAAAATCATTTTTTTTTTTTTAAATTAATATATAATTTAGAATAAATATTTTTTTATCTACCCCCCCCCTCCCCCACCTGTCATCCTTTCCGTTACTCGCGTAGTATTTGTCAGGATTTGGTTGTGAATTTTCAAGCGAGGATAAACGATGTCCTGGATCTTTACCCCGTGGACAAAATAATCCACAAAAATGTCCTTACGGACTATACGCTGAACAACTTTCTGGTACTGCTTTTACAGGTATGTTCAAATTTTGTCTCATTTTAATATTTCATATAGAAAATAAATGTATTATCTGTATAATAGTTTATTTCATTTGTCTTAACATTTTAGCACCACGTTCGCAAAATAAAAGATCTTGGCTTTATCGAATCAGACCGTCTGTAGTTCACGAACCATTTCAAAAATTAATAGAAAAAGATGTTGGTCATCTCGATTACGATTGGAACTGCATGGAACCTGATCCAAATCAATTGAGATGGAAACCATTTGATTTACCAACAAGACAAGATCATCAAATTGATTTCGTTCAAGGACTTAATACGATTTGCGGGGGTGGCGATTGTCGCGTTCGTCAAGGAATTGCCATACACGTTTATCTTTGCAACTCATCGATGAAAGATAAAGCTTTTTATAACGCCGATGGAGATTTCTTAATTGGTACGTAATTTTAATTATTATTATTATTATTATTGTTATTATTATTATTATTAATTGGAATTAGGAACCCGGAAATTCCTTACTTTCCTTGGCCACATATGTAGACGTTTTGTTTTTTATAATTATAGTTAATGTCAATAATAAATAGAACAAAAATTTGATAATTCAATCAAAGAAGTAAACATTTTTTGGTTTAGCTGCACGTTTTTTGGTTATTTCCGATGTACAGTAGAGCCATTTATTTTGAAAGTCGCCTAATTCCATTTATGTTCGAATGGAGATATTGAAGTATATGCGTTTTCTAAATATGGTATAAAAAACATTAATTATCAATTATTGTAAATGCCATTATAATTATTATATCAGGTAACTTAATATTATTATATTTTGAAAAAATTTCATGTATTCTTTAAAATAAAACCTTGGCACCCATTGCAAGATGCTCTAAATATATCTGCCAGTTAATGGATTAAACAATCAAATATATTTATATATTGATTTTGTATGTTTACAGTACCACAGTTAGGTGTTCTGTTGATAACCACTGAATTCGGCAAAATCCGATGCGAACCCAATGAAATATGTGTTATTCAGCAAGGAATGCGTTTCTCCGTAACGGTTCTTGGTCCATCCAGAGGTTACATTCTCGAGGTCTTCGATAATCATTTCCAACTTCCAGATTTGGGACCAATCGGTTAAATTGAATACATTTTCATATTAATAGATATATGTATAAGTATTTGTAAAATCGTCTTGTGTTTTATTTCCAATGAATTATTAAAATGTTGATTTTGATCCAGGTGCCAATGGTTTAGCCAATCCAAGAGATTTTCAAACTCCGATTGCTTGCTTCGAAGATCGTGAAACCGATTACAAAATAATTGCCAAGTTTCAAGGTAAATTATTTCACAGCGTTCAAGATCACAGTCCATTCGATGTTGTTGCTTGGCATGGGAATTACGTACCATATAAGTACGACCTTGAAAGATTTATGGTCATCAACTCGGTTTCTTTCGATCACTGTGTAAGTATCGAATAGATTGTGCCTTTTTTTCTTTTTATGATAATCGATACTAAGAGTTCTCGTTTGATTTCTAACTGTCTTATAAAGAAAGTTAGAATTCTCTATGAAATTGCTATGATTAATAAATTTCTCTAGGATCCCTCGATTTTCACCGTACTTACTTGTCCTTCGAATAAACCTGGCACCGCTGCTGCCGACTTTGTCATTTTTCCACCTAGGTGGTCGGTACAGGAACACACCTTTCGACCTCCTTACTATCATCGTAAGTAGAAAGTTTATTCGATCGATTCTACAAATTCATTTTCTCTATTAATACGTTTTATCAATATTATATTAATAAAAAATATATTTGTATAAATGTAAATATACTTTTACATTTGATTAGAATCAAATAGTCAATAATATAACGCGTTAGATTGCATATCCTAATGCTTGGAGAATTTTGTATTCTAAAAAATATCCTTAAAAAATATTTTGTTAATAAAAATATATTTGTATAAATGTAAATATACTTTTACATTTGATTAGAATCAAATAGTCAATAATATAACGCGTTAGATTGTGTATCCTAGTGCCTGGAGGGTTGTGCATTCTAGAAAATAGATATTTATTTTGATTAGGTTAATGATACTATACGAGAAATTTTCTAACTATTATTTTAAAAGAATATAATTATGCATATACATCCATACACACATAGAATGAGAGATACTCGATGCATTTTCTTTTCTCTTTTTTTCTTTCATTTCCTTCGAACGATAATTACGTCCTTTCGGTCGAGTGACGTCGTCCATCGGTATAGTGATGGCAGTGATGACAGTGGTTCGTATCGTCGTTCTAGAAGAACGCTTACGAAAATTGTATAATCTAGAAACTTATCGAGAGAAAACACTGACTTTTTCTTTGACAACGTTCGAAAATGTCAATCATTTGAACGATTTTCTTTTTTTTTTTCTTTTGCTATTCATATTTCTAAATATTAGGTCGTCCCAAAAATCACTTCCTTTTTTTGATAATAAGTTAAACAATATTGCATGCGTAATAAACTCTTTTTTTTTTTGTTGTATTTTACATTATTTTCATAAATAATATTAAATCTATTCTATATTTTACCTTTTTCTATACTTTAAATTATTCAATCTACAAAATATTGTGTTCGTAGAATTACTAAAAAAAAAAAAAAAGGAAGAAACTTTTGAAACGATTTAATATCGAAGAGGAAGAAACGAAAGCTCGTGAAATTCTTTTTTTTTTCTTTATTTTTTTTTTTATGCAAAATCGAAGATTATTTATATGAAGATAAAAATCGATCGAATCTTTTGTTTAATGTATTCATGTAATTAGAGATGCTTTGGTAACGAAGTATATACGAACAATAATGTGCATTGCATGTGTATGCATACACGTATGTATGTATGAAAATTCGTAAAAGAAGAACTATTCGAAACTTTCTCTAATTTTAACTTTTAACTGATAAAAATCATAGAAAATTTCTCTCTCTCTCTCTCTAACTAACACAAGATGCGTTTGGCATTAAAATATGAAAACGAATACTTCGAGCAACACACGATAAATGTAAGATTTTTATCGTAGATATCAATCTGTTAGCCATCTGTTATAAAAAGAAATTATTTGTCTATAAAATATACGATCTATAATATTATCGTATAAAAATAAATGAAAAGAGAGAGAGAGAGAGAGAAGGAGAGAGAAGGAGAGAGAGAGAAAAAAATAAAAAAAAATGTATATTTAATGTTAACAGGTAATTGCATGGCCGAATTTATGGGACTGATAAAAGGAAGTTACGAGGCAAAAGAGGAAAGTTTTCAAGCTGGTGGTGCGTCCTTGCACTCGATAATGACACCTCATGGTCCTGATACTCGATGCTTCGAAAGTGCTACAAACAGTAAACTTAAACCCGAACGTATTGCCGATGGTACTCAGGCATTTATGTTTGAAACTTCTTATAGTATGACTTGCACGAAATGGTCTGCCAAACTATGTAATAAATTGGATGAAGATTATTATAAGTGTTGGAAAGGATTGAAGAAATATTTTAATTTTAACGATCAATCTTCATCATCTCAGATCTAATCGAAATACTTCTTCTTTCTTTTTTTTTTTTTTTTCATAGTATTATTATTCTCGAAAAAGAATTTTATGGAATTTTAATTACTAATTAAAATGGTCATTATAATATATAATCAATTACTTAGATTCTTTCCTTCTATCGCATGGCGTATAAAAGGATTAGATATAATAAGGAGATTAAACTTCTTTTTTTTTTTTCAACATAAAAAGAAATGTTTACACGTTGATTAGATTATTGAAACCAATGACGTTAGATTTGATTTAACTCAACGTTGCATTATCGAACATGTTTGTTTGATTATATTCATGCTTATGATTATAATACTTCGAAGTATACGAATAAGATTTATGTATACACATAAGTATGTACATATTGTAATATTATTGCAAAATATATTTTGTTAAAAAGTTGAAAACTTGGGGAAAAATACTGTAAAGAGATTGACATTAAAAAGATACAATGATTAGAAATTTAATGTTGTGGATAGTTTTTTGTTGTTTTTGTTTTTTAATTAAAATGTTCATTATTATTTACGATAGTATTTTTCAATAAGATTTGAATTTTTCCCGCGTTGGATTAATCAGCGCTCTTGTTTGTTACTCCGACGTCCACCAGAGTGCTCTCCTGTCGGAGAAAAAATGCATCAAGTGCATCGATTGCAGCATAGCAAGTGTTTGTTGGGCGCGTCATTTATTGATCTATTGTTTTGAATTTTAAGATAATGTAAGATAATGTAAGAAAGATCTATAAACTAAATCTATAAGTTGAAGAATTTACAATTTAAATTTTTACAAAGATATATATATTTATAAAATAAATATGTTAGAATTAAAAAGGTTTCTGTTCTTAGAAACTTTTTAGATAAAGAAGAAGAAGAAGAAGTTATTATTGTGCATTGTATTTTAAGTTGAAAATGTACAACAATAAGTTTATATTGTTCATATTTACATTACATTATGTGATACAATATATAAATGCTCAATACTGTTATCCAAATTATTGTGAAAATGAGGTAAATGATTTTTATTATGTTTATTTATCATTAAATTTAAACTTAGTTATATATATATATTTTTTTTTATTTTAATTTTAATTTTATGTAATATATATGTAGATATATATCTAACATATATTTATACACAGTTTACTACGAAGTCAGTGCCTGCTTCTGAATGTCACTTTTTACCATTACCACAGAGTAAGTGTGTGTTGTGAGTTATTTATTAACCAATATATACCATAATCATAATTTAATATGTTAACTATATTTTTGATTGTTTTTTTTTTTTTTTTTTAGGTTGTTATAAATATTGGTTCGATGGGTTTGATATAGTACCTTCTGGAGAAAATCCAACTCTATTCAAATTGTCTGCAAATGTCTATCGTATGGAAGAATTTCAGAGAAATACAACGACAATTAATTTATTAGTTACCGACATAGATTATCTTAGTAAATATCTATAGAGTAAATTCTTTGTTTGAACATACTTAATTGTATAATACACATATATATATTTGTTTTTAATTCTAGGGTTAACTATACGCTATCAAAGTTTGTTAGATGAAAATAATTATAAGTGTATGCATGTTTCATCTTATGGAAACAAGACTGATTTAGAAAGTAACAACAAATTTTCTTTATCGTGCTCTTTTTTAAGTCAATCTTATGAAGGTAGTCCTTATCGATTGCAGTATTTTGTGGCAAGAGAAACATGGCAGTACAGTAAAAAGCTTGTTTTTATAATTCCCCATCATGAGTCTATTGGTAAATAATTAAATGAAATCAAATCAGAATAATTTTGATATACTATGATGACAGTGAGATGAATAAAAAAACAAAGTTTTTATTTTTTTTTATTTTCAGACGAACAATATAATAACGTTACTACATACTTACCATTCATTTACGTAGACGTTACTGATGCATTTTTATTCACGTTATACATACAACCAGTTCCTGCAATATACAACGTAACTGGATATAGAATTTGGTTAATAAATAATGATACTGATATAACAAATGAGATAAATGTTATTCAGTCACAAAATGAAGAATATATAAATTATGATTTTTCCATGTATGATGGAATTTATTATTTCAAAGTTGCTGCCATGCATCCTGATTGCAGTATATATGGATGTGTTAATGCAACCTCACCATTCATAAGTATAAGTACGTAATATTTTCTTCTCTGCTCATATGTTTATTATATCATTAATAATTGTATGATTATCTTTAAATATTATTTTACAGAAGATGCATCGAAACGTTTAATCATTATGATAATTAGCGTAATATGGATACCACCTGCGTTATTATATGCTCTTTGTCACTTATATAAGTTATGTAAAAAAAATGGTAAGATCATGCTTCTTCTTCTTCTTCTTCTTTTTCTTTTTCTTAATATCCTATCAAATTTTATTATTGTCTTTATAATCATTAATTAATTATTTATATCATTATTTCTTCATTCAATTAAAAATCAAATTCTAGCAAAGAAGAGAAGAAGAAAACCAAATTGTTTGATAGTTTATTCGCCAACGTGCGAATCACATGTTACGGTAATGACAGAATTAACTAAATATTTAAGATGCTGTAATATTAATGCTGTGATAGATATGTTAGATATCTCGGAAACCGCATCAAAGGTAAAAAAAAAAAAAAAATTAAACTCAACGTAAAAAATACCACAACATTACTATTCACGATCATCATCTCTATATCCAAGTATTTTTTTTTCTTTTTTTTTTTTTTCAGGACGTTGAACTTTGGTGTAAAACCGCATTTAATTCTGCTGACATTATTCTATTTGTGACATCACCTCCATTTAATAAACATATATCAATGAAGTATGAGAATGTAGGCAGTTATATATTAAAATTGATTAGAGAAGATTTTAAACAAAGAAACAAAAGATATTACATTTTACAATTGCCATATTGTAAGCCAACAGATTTACCTAAAGAGGCGCAATGTTTTCAACATTTTCAACGTTTTCATATGCCCGAAGAATTAGCAAAATTAGTAAAAACGGTTCATCGATATAACTGTGTTACATTTTTTGGTTTATCCAATAAAGATAAACTATTGGAAAGTATAAAATTAGCTCAAATGGAAATGTTAAACGATGGCACTACTACTAACAACGATCACAAAAGTGCTGATGAAACTGGTACGTCTTTCTATTACTATATTTATATAAAATATATCTACAATGTGTATCAATTAATAATAATATGTATTTAACACAAAATATCTATTATCTTAATTATTATATCTTTCAGACGATCTTTTACCATCCGTAGTATCATCAAATAATATTAAAAATGAAGATTTGAATAACGAGGACAACAATTCTACGTCTATGAATGATTTAAAGGATGAACATAATTTGTTGAAACCAAAAATAATCGAAATTGAAGATGAAGTAACTGTTACCGTCCATTTGAATCCAGATGAGAAGTAATAATATAAATGTGCAATTTAGTATTGGAAAAGAAAAAACAAAAGCAAAAAAAAAAAACAGAAGAAAAAACATATGAAATAAAACAATGAATGTGTTTTGTATCTCGTATTACTCTCAAGACTGTTTTTAACAACGATACACCTTTTTTTAATTTATCACATTTTTGTACTCGGTATTTATAACGACGAACATATTTAATAAATGTTTACGATAATCAGTTTTCTCTCTTTCGAATTTTATTTCAATCTTAATAAACAAATTTTTCTCTCTTTCTCTCTCTCTCTCTCTCTCTTTATTCATACGTGTTTAATTATAATAATAAAATAATAATAATAATAATGGCACTCTGCAATTGACATTGCACTTGATAAAACTATCTTTAACAAAAATAAACGTAACAAAATAAAAAAAATTAAAAAACGGAAATATAAACGAAGCTTTTTATCATCATCATAACTTACAACGTAACGAGGTAAAGGTGAACTAAACGCTAATGGAATGTTATATTTTTTTTTTTTTTTTTTTACATAAATACAAAAACAAATGACTTTGTGAATAAGGTACGGAAATCCAGTCTTCTTCGTGTATGTTGTTGGTTGTTGGTTGTTGCATCTATCAACGTCTTTTCTTTTTTTCTTTTTTCTTTTTTCTTCTATGTGAGCGTTTGTTTCCCCATAAAAAACCTACTTTCCGCAATAAAAACTTTTATATTCGTATACTAAAGTCTCTTTCTCTTAATCATTGCCATTTTATTTTTTTTTTTTTTTTTCAGTTTTTATCAACACCGTTAAGGAAAAAGCTGTAAAAACGATGAAATCACGTGTGCGTGCATTTGTAAAAAAAAAAGAAAAAAAAATATGAAGAAACTTTTCATCTTTCTTACAAATAAGATTTTTGATCATCATTAATGATCCTTAAAATCAGGAAGCCATTTAAATCTGTCAAATGCACTGCTGATAAGCCTCATAGGAGAAATTTACTGTTTTTTTTCTCTCTCTCTCAAATGCGATTAGCAATGTGCACGTGGCGAAACTTTGTACGTTTACCTGTACATACACAATTGTTCATTATATTATGTATATCGTATATACTATATGTGTATATGTAGTAGACATATTTATAGATGTAGATGTATATATATATATGTATATATATATACATATATTATATAAATAAGCTTTATAATCGAGAATCACCGTGTATGTAGTAATAGTAGTAGTAGTAGTAATAGCAATAGTAATAGTTAATCGTAATAATTATAATAATAGTAATAGTAATAGTACGAAAAGAGTTTGACGTCTCGCTTAATTACAAGAAAAAAAGAAAAAAAATACTTTATACACACAAAAATATTGAAATCTAAATCTTCTATTTATCTTTTGGTATAACAATCGTAACTACGATTTACGACTCTCTCTCTCTCTCTCTCTCTCTTTTCTTGTCTTTATCTTTGTTTTATTTTTTTTTTTAATCATATTTCATCGACCTCTTCATCATTCATCATCGTCGAATATCATTGATCGATCCATTTTGATCGATTGAAAAAAAAAAGAACTTTGTCAAAATTCTCTTGACAATTCTCTCGAAGTGTTTATTAAATATCTTCAATTAGTACTATCGTTGTCTTCTTTGCTTTCTAAACTACCAAAGACCAATAAATCTTCAGTTTCTTTTGCTTTCTTTCCTTGCATGTCTATGTAAGATTGCGGCCGTTCATTTGTCGGAGTTTTAAGATCATTTTCGCTGTTACTTGTGACACTGGTATTTCTTAATTTAATTGGACTTTCGTAATGATTGATGTTCAAGCTTGGTGGCCGATCATTAACGTAGGGTGATTTAATTGCTTCATTAGTTGGAAAAGAACCTATTGGTTCTTGCCAAAATGCATGAAGTTTGTTTACTTTGTCGGATTTCGTCACAGGTTCTGAAGATGGTTTGCTGAGATAGTTGACCGTATCTGTCCTTAGAATATTTACTTTAGCTTCTTCTATACCTTGGTCACCAGAACCTAAACATAAAAAAAAAAAATATACAAGTTAAGGTAAAAGTATGAAAACGAATTTGAAAATAAAATGATTCAAACTAACTGGTTGGACTATCTAAAGCATGAAGAGAAGCAAAGTATGATTGATTATGGACGGTTCTTGGATTCAGATCTAAATATTCTACTCCATCCTCTAACATGCGTTCCCAATGACAGGTGAGTTCCTTGAAGGATGGTCTCATACCAGGTTCCTCGTGCCAACAAGAAACCATCAATTTATATCTGCAATCGTAAAATATGAAACTTTGTAACTCTGATAAATTTCTTATTTCGTAGGAGTCAAAGTTTTGAATGAAACCAACTCAAAATGATGAGAAACATTTTTTATTTATCAAACTTTAAGCCATTAATTTTAAAACTTGATTTATTTATCATTCTTGTTTTATATATACGATCAATTTTTTTTTCTTTTTTGATAAAAATATAAAATTATATCTTTAAACGAATATAAATGTGGAATTAGAATCAATTTACTTACAATTGTTGAGAACAATTAGCTGGTTTTTCCATACGATAACCGGCCTTCAATAGATTGTACAGATTATGAACGTCTACACCTGGATAAGGTGATGCACCTAAGGTTACCAATTCCCATAGAAGTACGCCAAAACTCCAAACGTCGGATTTACTGGTGTAAACGTGATCCGCCAAGGATTCTGGTGCCATCCATTTAACGGGTACTATTATAACGTGAAAGACCATTCGTTGAGTACCACGAATTAATTGAGTAGAAAATGAACTTAATTGAGATAGGAAATCTATCTTAATTAAATAGAGAGAAATGCTTTTAATATATTTTTTTTTTTTAATCCCAAGAAAATATATCAATGAAAGGAAATGAAAAAAATAAAAATGAAAATGCATACCTCGACCTTTGCTTCTTTTCAAATAAGCATCGTCCTCGTAAACGTCACGTGTTAAACCAAAATCCGAAATTTTACAAACTTTTCCTGTTGCCAATAGAACGTTTCTAGCAGCCAAATCTCTGTGTACCAACTGAATAAAAACAGATGGAACAAATAAATGATTTCATTTAATTTTTCCTACCATTTGTCTTATTTTTCATTTTTCTCACACATGGTCATCATAGCGATATTATTTATGTGTTTTGTTTATAAATGCTACAGATCTTCGTTTGTATCTCGTGAATAACGGGATTTTTATCTCTCTTGAATTAAAGAAGAAAAAAAAAAAAAAAAGAAAATGTCGGCAATAAATCATTCTCGCGAAAGATACGTGTTGTTTTGTGTTTTGTGACCACCTTGTGAGAAACAATTTAATAGAAAATGATTACCAAAAAAAA